CCGTGTCCGTGGGCTTGTTGCTGCTACTGTCGCGGTCTTGGTTGACCTCGGTTGGCAGCCGTTGTCGCCGACGAAGTGGATTGTGCCCGGCGGCTCCGCCTTGCGCGCTGACTCCCCTGATTTCCCTGCCCAGCGGTGGAAGCAGCTTAAGGTTACTTTGCGTGAGGAAGCGTGGGGAACTGCTGCCCAACATTATCTCGGGGGCGGACTTGAGGATGGCGCGGCTTTCAAGAGTGCACATTCCCTGTTATCTACAGCGGGGAAGGATGTCGACAATGAGGGGCAAGGTATCTTGAGGAATACTCTGGTGTGGGGGTTCTAAACCGAATCTCGTTCGCATGAACATGGATATGGCGCGGAATCCCAAGGACTTTGTCCGCGATTTGACCTGGAAGTTGAAACCCCTCTCCACCGCTTCTGGCAGTGCCCGTGCAATTCTGATATTCCCTCTGCATCTGTTCTCAGTACCCAGCCACTCTGTGCTCGAGCGCTTGAAGAGGCTGATGCATGTCCTTCCGTGTAGTGTCGATCGGTCGTTTGTCCCCGCCGACCGACCAAGTCTGGCCCTGGGGATCTCTCGGCGAGGGTCGCGCCCTTGGAGGTGTGTTCGGGGTCGAGGGGTCGGGGGGGCGTCGCACTAAGGACTGGGTACTGAGGCGGTGCGGATGGGCATGCGCCCGCTTCGGCCACTCCCTCGCCGGCGTGGATGGCTTTCCTCGGTGGCGCCCGCCCTGGTGAGTTTCAGAGCTCTCAGAGGGCTGAGCTGCTGGCGCTGGTCATGTTGCTTCGTCGTGCTGAGGGGGGTGCTCATATTATCTGATTACCTACCTGTCGAGCAAGTTTTTCGTAAAGCACCGATATTGTTACAGAAATCGGATATGTTAGACATCTGGGTGGAGACTTGGGATATCCTGGAGGGGAGGGGGGGGGGGACTTAGGTGGGCTAAATCGCGCCCGACGGTGCGAGAGTTTGCTGCGCTCGGATTGACCAGGATTGAACAGCTCTTGAACTCGGTGGCCGACGGACTTGCGAACGGGGCGGCAGCCCGCGGCAGTGCCCCAGTCTCCCACATCGAACGCACCCGCCGAGAGGGCTACCTCCATCGTGACAGTTTAAGTAGGTTGGTTGCCATTCAGCGAGAAGTGTTCATGACTTGTACCCGTGAGCGCACGCGCGCCGGGCATGAGCGCGCGCGGGCTCGCGGGCCCGGGACTGGCATGCGCGCGCGCGTGGAGCGGGCGCGCGAGCAACAGCGCAGCACCGTGGCCCTCCGAACTTCGATCAAGCGTCGTATTTGTTCCTTGACATTTTCTCTGACAGGCCCCCTTCCTGTTTCAGGCCAGGGCCGTGCCTCGGGCCCAAGCATGTACACTTGGCCGAGCCTGCAAGTGATGGGGGGGCGCAGCTGGGGGAAGGGGCGGACGGGGCCCTCGTCCCACCGTCTCGCCTCCATCTCCCATCCCTCGCATGCCCTTCGTTTACTGAATGGAGTGTTGTTCTGCAAGGAGTGCGGGGCCTTCGGAGTGGTGAGTGCCCGCAACTTGAAGGGGGGATATCCCCCCACGGGCCCCACTGCTAAAGGTAGGGGGGGCCCTTGGGAGGCTCCGCCGTGGGCTTCCCCCAGAAGCAGGAATTGTTTTCCCACGGGACTAAGTCCCCTGTCGCACGGCCGCGGGGTGTCTCGCGATGACCGTTGCTCAGGGGTCGTGTCCCTGCCAGTGGCGTGGTTTGGGCTCACGTGGCAGGTGCGATCTGGGGTTAGCGGTGTCCTGCTCGGCGGTGCTGGTTTCGCTGCCAACCCTTGAACTCGGGCCTTGGAATTCCGTCGCGCAGGCGTTGCTGGCCGTCTTTTTCACTGCCTCGTGCTGCTCATGCCCTCTGGTGCACGGCCGTGGGGCGATGTCTCCCCCGCGGTGACCGCTGCTCAGGGGGCCGCCCCAGACATGTGAGCGCGTTGGGGCACGGGGGAGGCGCCGCCTCCCTGGCCGATGCCCTCTGGCGTGCTGGATTTGCTATGGCGTGGCGTGAGATGGGCTCGCGTGGCAAGTTCGATCTGGGGTTTTGCTGCGTTCTGCTCGGCGGTGCTGGCTACGCAACCAGCCATAGAACTCGGGTTTGGGAGTTCCGTCGGGCTGGCGCCGCTAGCCGTCCTTTTCACTGCCCCGTGCTGTCCTCGCCCCTGTCGCACGGCCGTGGGGTGATGTCTCCCCCGCGGTGACCGCTGCTCAGGGGGCCGCCCCAGACATGTGAGCGCGTTGGGGCACGGGGGAGGCAAACGTCCTCCCTGACCGCGTGCTGATGATTTGCATATGGTTTTGGCGTGAGATGGGCTCACGCGGCAAGTTCGATCTGGGGTTTTGCCGCGTCCTGCTCGGCGGTGCTGGTTACGCAGCCAGCCCTGGAATTCGGGCATTGGAATTCCGTCGGGCAGGCGTTGCTGGTCGTCCTTTTCACCGCCCCGTTGTGTCCTCGTCCCCCTGTCGCACGGCCGTGGGGTGATGTCTCCCCCACGGTGACCGATGCTCAGGGGGCCTCCACCGTTAGTATAGGTTGCGCGGCAGGCACGGGGGAGGAGTTTGCCCTCCCCGACCGTATGCCCTGTTGCGGCGCAGGACTGTTTTTCTCTTGCATTTGTCCCTGGCCAGGGACATGCAGGCCAGGGTGTGATGGTGGCACCCCACTCGTGGGTGCTGCGTGCGGCCAGGCGCTTGTGGCACCCCGCTCGTGGGTGGCACCTGGAGGCCGCCAGTGCTGCTTCATGCTTCATGCCCCTTCCCAGCCCTCCCCCTCCCCCTCCCCTCCTCCTGGGCCGCCCACCCCGCCCCTCGGTCTGTCGGCGCCACACGCTGCCAAGGCCGCCGATCTGTGAACCCTGGCCGGCCGGCCGGCCACCTTCGCCTCAGCGTCCGCTGGTCCCCCGCCCGCGCGGGGACGTCCGAGCGGGCGAGGAGGAGGGGAGGGGAGGAGGGGAGGAGGGGAGGAGGGAGGGGAGGAGGGGAGGAGGCAGGGGAGGGGGGGAAGAGAGGAGGAAGGACGGCAGGCAGGAAGGACGGAAAGACGAAAGGAAGGAAGGAAGGAGTGGTGGAAGGGGAGCGGGAGGAGAAGAGGAGGAGCACTACGGGAGAACTGATGAGGGTGGGAGGAGCAGGAGGATGTGGAGGAGGAGGTGGTGAAGGAGGAGGAGGAGGAGGAGGAGGAGGAGGAGGAGGGGCAACAACAGAAGGGTGAGGGAGGAGAAGGGAGGCGGATGATGATAAGGGGTGAGGTAGGAGGCAACGGAGGATGAGGATGAGGACAATGAGTGAATGAGGAGAGAGGAAGGAGGAAGATCAGGCGAAGGAGGGAGGAGAAAGGAAGAATGAGTAGAACGAAGGACGACGAACAGGAGGAGGATGAGGAGCCAATGGGGCCGGATGATCGTACCACGTCTTCGACACTCTGGCGATGCATCGGCGACATTAGGGCGGAGCAGCCCTGACTCCGGATCGCGCCGCATCGCCACGCCAATGCATCGGGGGCGGGAGGGAGGGAGGGAACGGCGGCATCTCTCCTTGCCCGGGCCTGCCTCATCAGAAGGAAGGTTAGCATGCCCGAAATGAGTGCGGAACAAACGTGGGTACGATACCCAACAGCACATGTTGCCCAAGACCGACAGCGGCCGCTGCTGCGCAGGCGCCCTCCTGCTTAGAGCGGACACCGCCCGCGGCGACACCGACCGCGCGCCCTGCTCGGAGTGGATAGGAACTGCTGGGTCGTGCCCACTTCTGCCGTACCCATCGGTCGGAAGAAGTGGGTAGAATCATGCAGTAGGACGGCGTCGGAGGCAGATTGGACCTCCCCCCGCCACCTGATGACAAAGGAGGAGGTGAAACCACACTCGATCCTTGAAATCGATCCTTGAAATCGGAGAGAGCCGACAGTATATTGGACTCTGGGGATTCCCAAATACCTACTTTCAATGACCGATGTGTCCTCCCAAGTGGGGTCCGAGTAGACGGGGTCCAGGGTCAGAGAACCGCGCCGCATCGCCGTTGCATCGCCGATGCATTGGCGATACATCGCGAGGCCTGCGTGGACCACGTCGAGCCGCATCGCTGATGCACCGGCGGTAGGTCGCGATCCTCCGACCCCATCTGCTCCAGCCCCACTGGGGAGGCACGGATGAATACCTACTTCCACTGACCGATGGGTACCCATCTCGATCGTGCCGAACGGGGGGCGGGGGCGCGCGGCACTGTGCGCTCGGGGTCTGGCTAAGAAAACCAAGAGATATCGATACCGCTACTCCCTGGACCTCTCCCGGGGCCTATCCTGACCAGAATTTCAAGGTGTATCCAGCGGTGGCGACGAGGGCCTCCCAGGAGGCCAGGGCGAAAACGAGGACAGGGTAGTGGCAGCGGTACTTTCTCCTCCTGAGATCGGCTGCATGCGAGAGTGACCCTTGGCAAGAGTGACCTCCCGTGCCGATCCTGGCGTGCGATGCGGCAACAACGGCCCGCGTGCTTATGCCTCGCCGCCCCGCGCCCCCTCACAGCCGCGCACCAGAGATCACTCCGGCGAAGGGCCAGCCTTACGTACAACCGATCCGAGGCGGGGCCACGCGGCACTGCGCGCCCGCGGGCGCGGCGCGCGGCGGTCGTCGTCGTCGTCGTCGTCGTTGTCGTCGCCGTCGTCGTCGTCGTCGCCGTCGTCGTCGTCGTCGCCGTCGTCGTCGTCGCCGTCGTCGTCGTCGCCGTCGTCGCCGTCGCCGTCGCCGTCGCCGTCGTCGTCGTCGTCGTCGTCGTCGTCGATGTCGCCGTCGTCTTCGGCGTCGTCGCGGGCGCTCTCGCTACCTTCTCCTTCTCCTTCTTCTCTGCTTCTCCCTCTGCTTCTTCGTCTGCTTCTTCTTCCCTCTGCTGCTCCCCTTTCCTCCTTCCTGCTTCTCCCTCCTGCGCCCTGGGCGGCGGCGGCGGCGGCGCGCGACCAGCTGCCGCCCACGCCGCTCTCGGCGGGCGCCCGCTCACGCCAGCTCGAACGGGGGCAGGACCTCTGCAAGCGGGCGCGCGGGGGGGGGGCGGCCGTCGGGCCAGCCTTCCGCGCCAGCATGGGGCAACCGGGACGATTGGCGGCGAACGAGGGGGGGAAGTGAGAATGGGCGTGCCTCCTCGAAAGGCTCGGAGGCCGAAGGCGTTGCTCACAATTTGTCTGAGGATGGAGCTTCTGAGGGCCCTCGTGGGGCCTGAACTTCAGCAATCCTTCTGAGGATAGAATTTCCGAGAATCGAGTTTCTGCGATGGGATTTTTCGTGAGAGCGCTCCTGCGCTCCTGCGGCAGAAGTAATAGTCGTCGTAGTCGTAATCGTAATCGCAATCGTAGTCGTAGCTGTCGTCGGCGTTGTTGCGCGGCGGGTGCCGCGGAACAACATAATTAGTTACCCCCTGTTGTTGGGACCCCCGTCCGTGAAGAAGGCCGCCGAACAATTAATTCATTACCCCCTGTTGCGGGGGGGTTTTGCAAAGACCCTTCGGGGTTATAGATCCCGTCGCCCTACCAAAAGGCGCGGCCAGGCCGAGGCTCCCTTCGAGAGCCTCGGTCTAAGACGAAACCAGGACGCGGATAACATCGGGTGAGGATCGATCAAGAATCTCTGGGGTCTGGCGGCGGCACTGCGGCCTTCTCAGAGCGTTCTGGAGCGCACTGAGAGCGTTCTGGAACGCTCTGGAACAGAGTTATCCTCGTCCTAACGTCCGACTCGGTCGCCCCCCAAATCCACCTCCAATCGAATCGGAAACTCGGGATCGGATCGGCCAGACATCGGATCGGAAAGCGAGGGAGAAGCGCGCGCCTGGCCAGACCGGAATGAGAAGCCCGACGTGCCCTCGAATCGGAGTCGGAATCGGAGGGGGGTGGGGGGGGGCCCTCGCCAATAGCAGAGCAGTTCAAAAGCAACTCGCGGAAGCTCCTGGCCGACCCCGTGGCGCCAAACAGCGCGTCCAGTGGCGCGCACAACGGTTGCCATTTGGCGCCACTTGGGGGCTATTCGGCGCAATTTGGCGTTATTATTGGGTAATATTGGGCGCTACTCGCTGATATACACGTCGGTCGGAAGAAGTAGGTAGAAACATGAAGGCGGATAAAAAAGATTGGGCGCGGGCCCGAAAAAAACACAGAACACGGCAATAGCAGATCGACTCTTGAAGCAGGAGGGCGCTTGAAGCAGATTGGGGTCTGGGAATCCAGTAACACCTGCTTTCCACGACTGGCGTGTATATTCGGCGGTGGACAAACCTCCCTTTTAGTAAAACTCCCTTCAATGGAAACGGCCTAGGACCGAAACCGATTGACCTGGACCCGCAAAAATGACGGCCGCGACGCTCTCTCGCGAACGGAAAACGGCCAACTCGCCACTCGACGTGTAAAGATAGGAGGTCTATCCACCCCCGATATGTGCCCCATGCAAGACGGGCGGAAGCTGCCGTGACTGACTGCCGGACGCCTGGGCCCCCTCTGGAGGGTCAGCAAGCAGCCCGCGTCCCGTACCGGCACGTCGGCCGCGCTCGGAGTTGCGCCTGCAGGCTCCCTGGGGGAGGGCTCGTCTTGGCCGCGTGTCTTACTATACTATTCCCATCGCACTTCAGGACCACATCCCAGAAACAGTCTCGAGCACCCAGACGAGTATCGAAACAGCGCCCGCCCGACACGCTAGCGACGTGTCGGACGAGCATCGCTTCCCAGGGCCCGACACGTGAAAACCTCCCAATGTTGGTGCTTTCTCGGTGCTCGAAGCTCTCTCTGGTGAACAAGGCTGAAGTAGGTCGGGACATCATAACGCTTGTGGGGGCCTGTCACGCAGGTCGGCGGGTGGGCCGCGGTCCTCCTCACTCACTCACTCGCTCACTCGCTCACTCGCTCACTCACTCACTCACCAACTCACGACACACAGGGACGCGAGGAATTCGGAATAGGGGAGGGGGACAGAACGAGCAGTGCAGGAGGAGGAGGATTGACATCAGGGGTCTACGAGGTGGCATCAGGAGGCTTCCCCTTCCTCCTCCTCCTCCTCCTCCTCGTTCGCCTTCTGCTTCTTCTCGGCATCATGGCAAATGATCGGAGCCACTCGTGAGACAAAGACGAGAAAGAGAGAGAGAGAGAAAGAGAGAGGGACAGAGAGAGAGGGAGGGAAAGAGAGAGAGAGAGAGAAAGAGAGAGAGAGAGAGAGGGAGGGGAAGAGGGAGAGATAAAGATGAACGATAAGGATATATGGTGTATACGTATGCATATTTATATGTGTACACATACACACATACATACATACATATACATATATATACTAGAACCATCGCGCGCGCTTCGCGCGCGCTCAAGTTCTAGCCAGGATCCTCACCATCGTCATCATCGCAATCATTACCATCGTAGTCATCGTCATGGTCGTGTTCACCATTACCATCACCAGCACAACCATCATCATCACCACCATCATCGTCAGCATCGTCAGCACCATCTTCATCATCGTCGTCGTCATCGTTGTCCTCACTATCATCGTCGTCGTCATCATCATCAGCATCATCATCGTCAGCATCAGCATCAGCATCAGCATCATCATCATCATCATCATCATCATCATCATCATCATCATCTTCGTCGGCGCCGTCGTTGTGCTCGTCATCCTCATCATCAGCGTCGTCGCCGTCATCATCATCGGTCTACTCCAGTCCCCTCCCCCTCCTCCTCATTTCCGTTCTATCTCTCCCCATCATCCTATCCTCTTGCTCCTCCTCCTCCTCTTTCTTCTCCTCGATGCCGTCTCCCTGAAGTGGATCCCTGTTCATTCACCTCCTCCTCCTCCTCCCTGTCCTCCCCGCTCTCTTCAATCTGTCCCTCCTTGTGTTCCTTCACCTCCTTCACCTCCTTCCTCCCCCCAGAACTCCACGAACGGTGCCAGGGACAGAAAAGCACGGCGTCCCTCCGCCTATCGCACACCTTTCACACGGCTCTGTTGGGAGAATTCGCCCAGCGTCTCCCCGCGTATTTCGACTCGCTCCGCACACAGCTTGTGCCCCGAAGGAAGCTGTTCCGACGGCCCCGGAAACAAGGGTCGCATCCTGCCGCTCCGCCCATGTCGGCACACCCCTGACATGGATCGTGAAGTAGGGGCGTCTTGGAGGCCTCTCAGGACGTGATTCCCAATGGTCTCTTGAAGTCTCTGCAAGGCCTCTTGGGGGCCTCTCGGCGTCTCTTGGGTGCCGCGGGAGCTGCTGGGGGCTTCTTGGGAGCGTCCTTTGGGGGACCGTCTTGGGGCTCCCTGCGCCGGCGACGCAGGGAATGAAACTTGGTGGCCTCTTAAGCGGTCCCGGGGCGCTCTTGGGCCGTCTTGGGGCCGTCTTGGTGGCCTCTTGGGCCGTCTTGGGGCGATCTTGGGTGCCTCTTGGCCGTCTTGGAGCGCCAGGGAGCCCAAAAGGAGAGAAAGCCAAAAACATCGAAAAACACAATGGAAAATCAACGATTCGAGCCTCTTGGGGCCCTCTTGGAGAGCCTCTTGGAGGCCTCTTGGGGCGTCTTGGAGGCCCCTTGGGCCGTCTTGGGACCATCTTGGGCGTCTTGGAGCGATCTGGGACCGCCTCGGGGCCCTCTTGGACCATCCTGGGGGCCTCCTGGGGCCGTCTTGGAGGCCTCTTGGGTCGTCTGGAAGCTCCTTGGAGGCTCCTTGGAGGCCCCGGGGAGGGGGTATTAAAAAGCGTTCCCCGATGGTTGCGGAGTGGGCGGCCCCGCCGGGGGGGGGGGGGGCCTATTTGTTTATATTATATAAATCTATATACTAAAACCATCGCGCGCGCTTCGCGCGCGCTCAAGTTCTAGCTGGGATAATCGTCATTGTCATAATCGCCATCCTCATCACCATCATATCCGGCGTCATCGTCAGCGGCATCGTCATCATCACCATGACCATCACCATCATCACGATCGTCACCATCACCACCATCAGCAGCAACATCGTCATCACCATCGTCATCATCGCCATCGTCGTCATCATCGTCAGTCTCGTCACCTGAATTATCAACATAATCATCCTCATCATCACCATCGTCATCATTGTCGTCGTCGTCGTGATCGTCGTCTCCGTTATCGTCATCATCATAGTCATCATCTTCATCATCCGCCCACTCCTGCATCACAAGCACCATAAACAGCATCGCCACCATTATTATCAGCATCGGCGTTATCATCCTGACCATCACCAGCATCATCAGAATGATCATCAGCATCACCATCCTCAACGGCATCACCGTCATCGTCATCAAGATCGTCAGCATCACTTCCGTCATCATCATCATCATCATCATCATCATCATCATCATCAGCATCATCACCATCACCCACATCACGATCAGCATCATCATCATTCCCACTGTCAACATCAGCATCATCATCATCTTCTTCCTCATCATCATCATCATCATCATCATCATCATCATCATCATCGTCGTCGTCGTCAACTTCATGATAGTCGTCATCATCGTCATCATGTTCGTCACCGTCGTCTCCGAAGCTCCCCCGCCGAACTCGAGGATATATCCGCAGCGTCTTGCATGCCGCGTGAGCAGTGTTGGGGATTTGGAGTGGGCCTGAGGCCGCCCTGCATAATCATCATTGTCATTATCACCAGCACAGTCATCACCAACACCACCGTCACCATCGTTATCGCCATCGCCTTCCTCATCGTCACTGCCACCGCAACCGTCGTCTTTACCATCCGCATCCTCATCGCCATCATCATCGGTATCATCGTCATCATCATCATCATCATCATCTTCGTCGTCGTCGTCGTCGCCGTCGTCGTCGTCGTCGTCGTCATCAGCATCAACATGACAATCATCAACATCATCACCACCAACAAAACATCATCATCGTCATTTGCATCATCCTCACCATGTTCTTCATCGGTCTACTCTGGTTCCCTTTTCGTCCTCCTTCTCGTCCTCCTCGTCATCTTGTCTTCCCGTTCGATATCTCCTGTCGACCTCCCCTCCTCCACCTCCTCACCCTTCTCTTCGACGCTGTCTATTCGAAGATCCCTGTTCGTCCTTGTCGTCCTCGTCCCCCTGTTCCTCCCGTCTGTTGTTCTCTCTTTCTCTCTCTCTCTCTCTCTCTCTCCTCCCAATATCACCCTCTTTCTCTTCCTTGAGCTTCTGCTCCTCCGCCCCCCTCTGCTGGCCGGGAATGCGAGAGACCATCAATAACTCAAGGGCACAGATAGACTCTGGTTCTCCCCCGCCTCCGCCTCATCCTCCTCCTCCTCTTCCCCCTCCTCCTTCTCCTTCTCCTCCTCGGTGAAGATGATTTGGGTCGACTTCTGAGGCCCTTACGAGCCGGGGACTTGGGCCTCGGACGTCGTGGTCTCTTCGGTGCGGAGGTCGGTCACCGGCGTCGGTGTCCTCTGGAGACCGCTCCCGCTTCCTGGGACCATGAAGAAAACGATCCTCCAGGAGGGGCGCGTCGAGGTTCGACCCTCTGGTTCGTTCGGAGGGTTGTGCGGCTCCTGCGGGAGCTGTCCGGGGGACTTGGGTTGTGCGCCTGAGGCCAGCATGCCTGGGTGATGGGGCAGTGTCCTGCTGGATGCCTGTTGGGATGTGTGAAAACTTTCGGGGGCATCCTGTAAAGCTCTCGAAAACCTCTTGGGTACTTCGTGGCTGCCTCTTGGGGCTTGGTGGAAGTCTCTTGGGAGCCTTGCGGGGCCCTTTCGGCGCCTTTTGGAGGCCTCTTGGAGCTTCCTGGGGGCCTCTCGAGGCCTCTTGCGGACTCCTGGGGGCCTCTTGGGAGCTTCTGGTGGGCGAGGGCTCGACATGTCAGTTCGTGTTCCCCATCTGGGCCGTCTTGGAAGCTTCCTGGGCCGTCTTGGGGCCCTCTCGGGCTGTCTCGGTGGTCTCTTGGGGGCCTCTTGGCTCGTCTTGAGGCGATCTTTCGGGCCTCTTGGGCCGTCTTGGAGCGTCTGGAAGCCGAACTGGGGAGAACGCCCAAACCCTTCAAAATCCAGTAAAAATCAATGACAATTCCCTCTTGGGCCCCTCCCGGGAGTGCTGTCGGAGACCTGCTGGGACGCTTTGGCAGCTTTTTAACCGTCTTGGAGTGCTCCCGGGCCGCTTCGGACCTCTCTTGGGCTGTCCTGAGGGTGTCCAGGAGCCATTTTAGAGGGTCCTGGGAGCGTCCTGGCGTCTCTGGCGGGGGGGTGACCACAGCCACTGGGCAAAGTGAGGCCCCCCCCTGGTCCAGGACACCCTCCCCATTTCTAATATATATATATATATATATATATATATATATATGTATGTATGTATGTATATATGTATATATACATATATATATATATATATATATATGTGCATGTATATAAGCAGATACACATCCAGAAGCAACAGCAACACGACATAGCAAGACGTGAATGGACTCCACCTCCTCCTCCACACAACCTTCGGGACCCCCCCTCGTCGCCACGGCTGCGCGTGGCTCGGGGAGGGGTCGGGCCGATACGCCCGGGCGTCGTGAAACGTCGCGACGCGCCACTTCTGGGGGAACAAGCAATCAAATAAACCTAAAAACTTGACGGTCCGCGCGGATTCCTCGGATCGGCTCTGGAGTTGGGCGCCGCATGAGAAGGGGGCGATACATCGGGGGGCAGCGAGGGCTGCAGGAAAGGGGCCCTTTAGGGCCCATAATGGGGGCCTTCAGGGCCCGAGAAGTGTATCTTTCTCCCCCCGCCCATGTATCGCCCCCCCCATTCAGCGACGCCCAGTGGAGCCCCTTGGCGGCGCCTCTGGCGCCGCGCGCTCCGCGCGCCTAGGAGGGGGGACCTGGCGCGGATCCGAGAAACCGCCGACCTCTTATGATTATGTCATTCTCCGTTCCCCGAATTTCGCCCCGTCCTGGGTCCCGACAACCCTCGCCCAGCGATCTGGTCCGAAGCATGGGGCACGAAGCTGGGGTCAACATATTCAGCCATGCGCCATGCATTCTGTTCGCAACGTTGTGTTCTCTTCCGAGGCGTCGGATGCCGGGGGCGCTGCCGATCACCGCGCCCGCCGCAGCGATCGCGTGCCGAGCACTGTGGTCGCGATCGCGCGGTCGCCGGGACCGATTGCCGACCGCGAAGGACACTGGGGGCAAGACGTCGAGGGAAGACATCTTCGGAGCGTACATGGGCGAAAGAAGCTTCGGCCTCGGCTGGCGGACACCGCGCCCGGGGGGGGAATGTGTGGCTATGGAGGCGGTGGCGCCGATTATGGAGATGGTGATGAGGACGATCCACAATTTCTGGGAACGTCGAAGGCACGGGGTTGCCCAAACCACGAGCCCCACAACAGCTGTTGCTGCCGCTGCTGCTGCTGACGAGGAATCGCTCGTCGCCGCGGTGACCAAACAAGCCTGAACCCAAGAAACAGAAGAAGAACCTCCTACCCAAAACTCCGCTTGACCCTGGAGCCGTGTGGAGAAAAGAGCCTGCACAGGCCTGGTGCGCCCCACCAATGCGCCACACCTCGTGCGAGTCCGAACGCCCTGCCCACGAAACGCACAATCCGCCATCGATTTCCATAGAGTTGGAGGCGGGCGAGTCAACTACATCAATGCATCCCAAAACACGCACGCATTTACCCGATGATGGCCTTACCCCGGAACCAGGCGCACTGCGCATTCTGATTAGCTCAAGGCGCTCGGAAATCATGCTGGGATCATCAAACTCCACCCGGTACTTTAGTACCAAGTTGCATTATGTGCCAAAACGTGCGGCGGATTCCACGTCGCGGCTGCGCGCGCGCTGCATATGCCGCGCGATCGCGCGCGACAACGTGCGCAAGGAAAAGCCTCATCGCTCTGAGCGAAAACTGGCTACGGAAACGACGGACGAGGGTGGATGAGGAGAGGGGGAACAGGAGGACGAGGAGGAAGAGGAGAGAGCAGCATAATAATAGGTAAATAAAAGGAAGGCGGAAACAATGATGAGCGACGATGCAGTGTTTCCATGACTTGGGCTCGCGAGCGCGAGTGCCACTGGGCGCGACTAAGCAGGCGCGCCGCCGTGCGGATACCGGGGGCACTCCTGTGAAATAGAAAATAAAAATCCTCCGCCCGCCAGCCTGTTCCAAGGCCAGAACAGGACCTCCCCGAATGGCCCCGCGCCCACCTCTGTGGACAACCTCTGCGGACAACCGTCCACACCTGACTGGGACCAGGTGGGTGATGCCACAGCCTTTGCTTTGCAAGCTTCGACGAACCTGAATATCGGCGTGGTCTCTTTCTCTATGGAACGCTAGAGAAAGCGGCACATCCGCCCTGGTATGGGCGCCCGAAGTTGGCAGGCAAAACATGGGTACGATGCCCAGCATCGAGTATTGGCCCAAACCGACAGCAGCCGCTGCTGGGCAGGCGGCCTTCTCTCTCAAATGGACAACGCCAGCTGCGGCACCGACAGCGAGCCAGGCCAAACATCGACAGGACCTGCTGCTGGTCTTCGTCCCCATTCTTTCCGTACCCAGTTCGAATATCGCGGCAAGTGTCCTCGCTCGTCAATGCTCAAATTGTAAGCCAGTCGGGCGGGTCATCGTTTCTTCGGGCATTTGCAATGTAGCCGTCGGGCCGTCGCGCCGCGCTGCGTGCGGAAACGCGTTTCGTCTCCGTCGCCAACCGTCGAGGTGGACGCGAGCAGTGCGCGGCGATCCGTGATGCCTCTGGCACGCGAGCGAGGCGGCCCTTGGCAACCCTCGCGAAACCACGCGGCCAAAGCATCCAGCCTGGAATACTCCCAACGCCCTTCCCAACGCCCTGGTTGCAACACCTGCGCGCCCATGTTGTCCCTCCCTGGTGAAGTCGGCCGATGATGCGAGGTGCAAGTGGCAGCCGCCGTTGACGCTCTCCGTCCACCTTCGGCGCCCCCTTGGCCAGATGATCCTCCCGAAGCTGCGCCCGATGGGCTCGCGGGCCCCGCTTCTCCGACGGCCGCCCGTCGATGGCCTCCGGGGCGCCCGCCGCAGATCCCCCACTTCGTCTTTCTCGCTGATGGCGCGATTGCGGGCCCTCTGGCTGGCGGGAGCGCCTGTTGCGCCAGCATTTGCTTTTTAGTCAGCAGCCGCAGGCGACAGCGCAAGCGGCGAGTCGAGTCAGAGCGGGCCGCGCAAAAACGAATTACCTAAAGCCGGCGGGGCCTCAGGCGAAACGCGCCAGCATCTGCGCGCTGCGTCGACATCTGACCAGAACCCAAAGGCGGCCTGCTGGCGGGGTCCAACCAATCGGCCAGGGCCCCGAATGCCGCCCTGTAGTCGGATTGGCGGTTTCTGGGCATCGGTTCCCGCCTCGCGTTGAAAATCTCGCAGCCGCTCCTGCACCATCGAGGCGTGACCTGGTCCAAGCCCAGCCGCGACGCCTCTACCCCCGATCGTTGCCGCGCTCTCCGCCCGTCCCGTGTCCGCGTGCTTTCCTTGGCGCACTCGCCGACGATGCCGGTGCACTTCGGCAGGGCGGCCCAGGAACGAGGGGTGATGCCGCGTGGCGGTACTACCAGCGCGGTCATGTAGATTTCCTTCGCCCTGCCGAGAGCAGCCCCTGTCTGTCCAAAGATCGGATGCCCCGGCCTCGCGCTGCAATCGCCCCAGATGAGGTTGTAGTTTTTCTTGAGCACCCGAGATTCGCGTGCCGCGCCGCACTCCGAAGGTCTGGCGCCAGCAAGCCTTCGTCCAAATCCCAACGCAAGCGGCCGTCGGGGGCGCGCCGTGCTCCCCGTGGCGGCCGCAGCCCCTGGGCCACTCGAGGTGCAGGCGCTTGTCATTTGCGTCCGCCCAAATTTCTGCGACTTCAGGTCGGTCGTTGTGTCGGGCGGCCCCCTGCCAGAGCCGCTTTCCCGCGTCGTCCACCAAGGCGTCAAAGACATCGACGAGGTCGCTCTTGTCGCTCTCTCCGGGGAAGGCTCGCCGGCGTTCTCCGCGTCCAATCACGTGTCCGGCCCGCGCAAAGTCCCAGCCCAGCGCTTGCACTCCTTGGCGCCGCGGGGCCCGGGGCAAATCTCGAGTCCCCCCTCCCTCGAATCTAGTCCCGCAAGTCGGGGCTCTTGGCCCAGAGGTCGAGCCGCGCCGAGAACTGGTCCGTCGCCGCTGACCCCGCGGGTCTGACACCCTCTGGCGCCCGGCAACGTGATGAGTATCGCCCCGCCCATTGACGCTGACGCCTCAAAGCAGGCGCTGACCTCCTGTTCGCCGTCGCAGTGGCTGGGAAGTCATCCGTGACTGCTCCGTGCATGGGTGGGGCCATAGCGCGCGCCTTCCTCGGGGTGGCTCCGAACCTGCGTATTTTGCCTCTGCCCAGCGCGCAAATGCGCTCATGGGCGCTCCGGAGACGCCGTTCCAGAAACGTATTGTCCGAGTTGGAAGGTGATGCCCCGCGGGGGAGCGAAGCTAAGCAAGAAAGTAAAACAAGGACACAAGGAGTGGGCGGGAAGGTCAGGGGGACTCGATTTCCGTCATAAATATGCTCCGCAAATGGCTGCAGAGGGGACCGCCGTAAATCGTAACGGGTTGCCGACGTCGCCGCCCCCCCCCCCCCCCCGCAGGCTCTGGTGTAGATTCGGTTAGATTCGGGGCCAATGTTTCTAAGGACATACACCGCCCATCTGAGCGTCGCTCTACCACCATTCGTTTGCCGAAATCTCTTAGGCGAGTCGCATCGGCACCCGAAGTGGCATGTCGGACGGGATCGTCGCTGCTTGCTGCGAGCACCTGTTGACGCATACTGGGATCTCGATGCTGGTATATCTCGGGGAATAATGCAGCGCGCCCCTGCCCAGCCTGGTCGGCTATCTGTTCGCTGGCGAGATGTAAGACCCTTGCGTTACTCTTCTCTCTACAGCCCTGCGAGCGGCTGCCCGCGAGGCAGTATCAACCCATCAGTCTCGGCCCTCGGTGACTACATCCAGGTCGGCTCCTGTGTTATAAGTGCGTCAGCTGTCTGCCCACGTCCCCTGCGGCAGCCGAGCCCGTCGCGAAAAGCAGTGTGTGTCCGCGCGCTTGAGCCCCTGAGATGCGAGTCTTGTGAAGAGGGCGTGGATGATCTGCACAAACGCAGCCTTCGTATGGCCTTTGCTGCCTGCGACTGTGATGCTGATGTCGTCGAGACGCGCCCTTGCCACGGCCCTCGACAGTCCTGGAGAGCTACGCCTGCGCCTAGTTGACCAGGGCCTTGGCGATGCTGTTGGGGTGCCTGGGATCAACCAGGAAGGATGGACATGCAGGCGTCGAGCAGCTCCCAGTAAGATGCTTGCCACCGCGTGGCCCTCGTGGCGGAGCGATGCATATTCATCACTGTTGTAAGATTTTTCGACGTCGGCCACTGTACAACCCTGAAGTATTTCCATGTCATCGCATCGCTCGTCGGTAATGATACGGCGCAACGCCTCGCGCAATAAACTGATGTTCGCGATCGACGCGTCCCATTCGTGCTCCCGCTCATGACCCCAGCGCCGGCAGACTGAGACGGTGTAGCGGCTCTCGACACCACACCAGCTGCGGGAGCATGGCAAGGGCCCAAATTATCGCCCTTGACAGGCTCGGGCGTCACCATGACCCCAACGAACACACACGAGCACACGAGCTCCCACGGTCACATCACTCATTTCTTGCGTTCGTCGAAGATGTCGGCTGTGCTTGGAAACCTTCCTCTGCCAGCGTGGGGTCGGCGTTGCAGCAGGTCACGTCGACGCCCTTGCCCTTGTCGAGCTCACCCTTCAAGGCCGCGTCGAAGTATTTCTCGTCCACTGCGCGGGCTCTTCCTCCCTGGCCTCTTGCATGGGAAGGTCTGTTTTTGGCATGGCGAAGAAAGTCTGGGCATCGCCAGAGCTTGCAGAAACCTTCGGCCTTGCAATCCGCGATGTCCGCTGTGCACTTCGTGGGCTTTCTCCGTCACAATCTCCTCCTCCCTTCTCGACCGTGGCATCGCGATCTGTTGTAGCTCCCCCTTGTGCCTCTCGCCTGCCAGGAGCCACTGGCGGAAGGACCCTATCCTATCGCGCAAGCCGCGCCAGACTGTGGGGAGACCAACAGGTACTGATGCCACGACCCCCTCGGACCTCTCCTGGGGTTCGTTCTGACCAGGACTTCGAGGCGAATGCAGCGGTGGCGACGAGGGCCTGGGTAGCGGTATCGGTACCTGTTCCTCCTCCGAGACTGGGTTTTCTCG